CACCCTCTGTATCCCACCGTGATAGCCCATTAATCACACCGGGATTCATCTTCCACTCCCTTTCCTTCGATTCCCCGACAGGCTTGATATTTCCCTGTCCGTCGACGTGCTTCTTATTATTTATCACGACGCGTCTGCGCGACGCCACGAAGAAAGGAAGAGAATCGCGCGGTGGTCCTTTACGATAAATAAAAATAAAGTGAGAGAGACACACGTGTCGCTTCTCGGGGCGTTCGTGGAAAGAGAGAGAAGGGGCGGAAACGAATGGAAAGGAGCGTCTGAAAGAGGTGGCTCTCTGAGCGAAGGAAAACGAAGAGATAGAGTTGCGGAGGAAGTTCGAGGCGGAGAGGGATACGGGGATTCGCGGATAAAAGGTTGACGGGTCCGCTACTTTCTGCCCTCTAAGCGGGCTGAATGTTGTCCTAAAAATGTTCCCTCGCGACGGAAGACGAGAACAAGCCGGATGGCTGAGGGCCGCCACATTTATCCGTTGTGTCAGCCCACCATTTGCCCTAGTACACGCTCGCTCCTCCTTAATGTCACAGGCCTCGATACACGGTGAAATAGCCCCGCGACGTCGCGTCGCTACGCCCAGTGTGTGTCTGTGAAGAAGAAGAAGAAGGAGAAGAGGAGCGCTTTTCAGTCGGAGAGTCGCGTATTCGACGTTGATTTTTATTAAGGCTCGATTAATGACGCGTCGCGTCGCGCTCAAGCTTTCCCTCTTCAGCGGCGGATTCAGCCGCCTTTTTGGTAGAATCGTGTCGTACTTTGACATTAATCATCCGTGGGATTAATGCGGCAAGGAGGATGTGAGAGGTTAGACGTGAATGTGGAAAGGTGGAATGGTGGTGGTTTGTGGAGGTTTATGTGAATGGTTACGATAATTAGAGATTTTAGATGCTTATTTCTTGGTTGTGCGTGTGGGTTTTTGATTTTATTTTGTGCAAAGTAGTTGGATATGCGTATGATTGTTTACATGTTGATTATGAATACTTGCGATAATTAGAGAGATTTTAGGTAATGTGGGGTTTTTGGTATGAAAGAGTGACTGTGGGGAGAGATGGGGAAATGGAGAGAGTTGGTGTGAATGGCCTGGAAAGGAAGAACGAATGAAAGACGATCGTGCGTGGCGCGTTTGTTTATGTTTAGACAATAACATGGGTTGTCAAGCCGATCGCGAATTACATTTTCTGTGACAAATAAAGATAATAATAATGAACAGCACCGGCGACGCGTGGGGTACTTTTAATTTAATATACATACAAAGTAACCAACAAAATCACACAGTAATTACTTGTTATCTTTCAGTTGTGTGTTTTTTTTTGATTTTATAATATTTTTTGCAAAATATAGTAGTTGTAAATGCGCGGGTACGTGTGAGATTGTTCTTTACAAAAGTTGACCTATTGAAGAATTGACTTTTTCAGTTTGTTGTATTGATTAGTTGAGTGATATTAAATTGACGCATTTTGCTATTCTAGGTAGTGAAGTTTTAGTAAAGAAATTAATTTTTGGTTACGTTAAATCCTGCGTCTAATATAGTATGCTAATTGTCTCAGTGTTAAAAGAAGTTTCCTGATAGTAGGGACAGAAAGTGATTTTCAAATGGTTAGACGACGTTCTATTCCAGAAATAGTCTGTTACGTTTCATTGTATTGTATAATTAATCTGTCATGTATCGGGTATACCAATAAGTAACCCAGCGTTTTACTATACATGTGACAAAGTCATTCAAATCACTAGAAGAAAATATCAATATTTAGTCGTACTTAAATATACCGTGTTTCTGAAAGACGAGAAAAAATACTGTGTTAAATGTTTCGAATGTAAAAGGAAAAGTAATAATTTTTACCCGTGACTGTATCAAACCTTACTTAAAAAATCACCAATTAAAAAAGAGACTCACAAAGTAATTACTCAGTTATACAAATATTAAATCGTGTAATATGAAGTGTTAGATTTCTAATCACTTGCAAATTGAATATTCTGATGATTAGCCGAATGTTGAAGAATTCTTCCTCAAAAAGAATGAATTTTTCATCAAGAAGAAAATTCAAGAAAAAAATTTTTTTTTTTAATCGATTATTGTGATTTTACGATGTCTGTTTAAAATGAAAAAGAAAAAAAAACGATTTTCATTCCTCCCTGAAAAATCAGACATTTCATCTTACACTATCTGCTCGGGTTTTATTGAATCACACGCTTACATTGTTAAACTATATATATTAGAATAAGTATGGCTTATAATAATTAGTACATTGATAGTCGAACCGCATGATAGTCGTAACAATTGCCGATCAGTGCGGGTCGCTTTCGCTCATGCGCAGAGCAACTCTTCACTATCTAATAAAAAATCAATTTTTACCTATTCCTTTTTACCAATTTTTTAAAAATCTCCCTAAATTCCAAAGATTCTTGCGATCTAATTAACATAATCAACTCCTTCAATTTTATAATTTCCCGCTTGTCGAACTGTTCTACCGGATAATTCAACAATTATTCCACGATTAGCCGGTGCTCGATCGGCGTTTCGTGTTTCATTGGTTTTCCGGTTCGCTTGCTCGATCCCCAACTCACGGTCGAATGGGCTTCGTTCAAGAATCGAAATCGCCGCTGTGAATTGAATTTCTTCAATCCGGTCACACATCCTATCGATTATTCGCACCGTCGTCGTCGTCTGACGACATGTGTACACGCACGCACACGCACACATACACGTTACCTTTACCAGTGAACGCAACGCGTTGAATCGTTAAGCCGACGGAATAACCACGGTTTCTCTTTACGATCGCTCGACGAGCTAGCATCAATTTGTTATTGCTCCTCTTCGAGAAGATTTATGCGCCACGGAATTACAAGCCCTGTTTCACCTTACCTGGCCGCGCACAAATCATCCATGGACACGCGGTCTATTTAGGCGTCAGAACGAGTATAACGCAGTGAAAAAAGATCGCTGATTTCTGTTAGTTATGCACAGTAATTTATTTCGTGGAAAAATGGTACAGAGAGAAGGGTTAAAATGTCGTTCGAGATGTTATAATAGTAGTGATTCGTGGAAAATTGAGATGTTTGTAAATAAGATTGTTATTCTAAAATTTGGGATTACTGCTTTATCTAGAATTTCATTAGATAAACAAGTGGTAAAATTATAAATAATAAATGATAGAATGTAAGAAACTTTTGTAACCTTCTTCTGCACTATGGTTCACAGCCTAAAGGCTAAAATAATTCCATTTATTAAAGTAGTAACTATGTTCCTGAACTCCAATTATATTTAATGTACTTTAGCTGGCAAAAAGTGACACTTGAAATGAAGCTATTAGATGGAAGTGTTAATATTGCATAAGTCTATTGCTTAGTACGTGTGTCTAAATTGGTTCGTCGAATTTTATTCAGTGTCTCGCAAAACTCTAATTCATAAATAAATGTACTAATGTAAACTCCCCAAAAAACTAGAACACAGTATGTCAAAGTAATAAACGAGAGAAAGAAGAAGTAGTAGATTTTCTATCAAATTCTCCATCTCACTGATGATTTTATTTCTCAGAAAATTCGCGCTATTTGTAACACCGTACTAAACAATACTAAACACAAAGTTCAACGAATCCTCGATTAACACCTCTTATTACGCCGCTGTTCCAATTTACCGTGAAATAAATAAATGAATAAATAATATATACAGTGCAACAAAGTTCCTTTCCCTTGCTTCTGGCTGACAAGGGTTAGTTTTTTCCCAGGCTGTCGGTTCTCGCGAGTCTCGAAGTTCAAAGAGTGGCCCGGCGGACGAATATCGAGTAATTTTGTCGCGTTCGAAATAACGTCGTTGAATATGCAACGCAACGTTTTACCGATAGAATAAGGGGACACGGCGAATTTTGATCGTTTAGCATGCAAATACTCCCGAATTCAGACGACAGACCCGCTCTTTTGGGCTGTTCACTCGTTATGAAGCGCGAAGAGAGTTTTAGAGAGCCGAGAGTGTATTTCATTGGCTTAAAGTAGGCTGCTTTTAATGCATGCACTGTATCAAAAGCGTTGATTTTGTCCGAGTGATTTAATAAACATTGAGAAACAGGATGCGACACACGAGTATATAAGTAGCGTGAAATTAGATGATTTAAATTAGAAATTCTTATTATTACAAAATTCAATGTTCATACTCAAACAATAGACTAATTTCGTGATCATTAACACACTCGCTGTCTGTTGATTCACGTGTGACTCAGAATATTGAAATTATTATGGAAATAATTAAATTAACAGCGTTTCTTTCGTACCGTGCTCTTGTTTATTCGGTTATAAGGCGTCACGGTCTTTTTTCAACCCAATGTGGAATGGGATGAAGATTGTAATGAATATGTTTAGTGCGGTTGTTGTTCGGTTATGAGTGGTTCGGCTTCTTGTTACAAGGCTCCTTTTTTGACTGATTCTATGTTAAACGGGACTGCTTATATATATTTTTCCGTAGCTGTAGGTTCGAGGAATGGGCCAATCAACGCCTTTCCCGAAGTAAGGTCCATTTCGCGAGTTTCTATTGGCAGGTAAAGACCGGCGTCGCAGGTCAATGTGGGGGGTCGTCGGACGCGTCAATGTTTCGTGTTTGAGGACACGACAGTGTTATTTAAATACATATAAGGAACACATCCTAAAAAAAAAAGAAAAATTATCTCGCTATGTATTATATGTATTCTTTGCACAGTGAACATAATAACTCATCTAACCCTTTCGTAACCAATGAGACACTTTGAATGTCCCACTTGAGTACTCGAATAAAAATTGATCGCAATTTAGCACTCGTTACAAACGTAATAAATGACAGATAAATAGGAAATTCTAAAAACCGAACGAAAGAAGAAATATTGCCATTTTACTCATATATATTCTGTCACAATGTCCACATTCTACACAAGTTTCACGTTTCGATCCTGGCTCGAAGGACGCGAGAGGATCGTCGATAAATGTACGTGTGTTCTAACAAAAGGATTGCTCGTTCTGTGCAGGCGATACTACGGCCGTACGTCATCTGTCTTTGAAGAGCCTCCTTCCAGAAACGAACGGTTACATGACTTACGAGGGTAGCACGACTCACCCAGGCTGTTGGGAAACGGCAGTATGGTTGATCCTCAACAAACCTATTTACATTACGAGCCGAGAGGTGAGTGTTGATCCTTTCTACCTTGCCTTTCCACACCAATTTATTCCAAATCCTCGCGTTTATTACCCTTCTCGTGTCGATTGGTCAATCAGTAAACCATCTGACTTCTCTGCATTGATTAACTCATTAACCCGTTGAGTATCGCATCAAATTTACCGATTTGCTCCTCTGTACCAATTCACGTGTGACTGAACGAGTCTATAAAATTAAAACGAACGTAGTTTCATTTATTCGATCGTGTATTACACACAGATAGGGTTAATTTAAGTTATTGTAATTGAAGGTTTACGAAGGTTACGCACACTTAAATATAGTTTAACCCTTTGCGGTCGTGTTTAACTCAAACGTGGGTGTTGAGCTTGCCGGAATTAATTTTCATTCAACGAACACGAATTTGTTATCCCTTTTTTTTAACTTTATGCGGTTTCATTTTATATAAAAATTAAATTTTACATTTCTCCGTAATGCGATATACACGAGTGCCTTCTAAAACGGTTTTTCCGTCAAATTCAAAGGAAATCCTGAAATTTCGTAACGACACCTTGTATTAAATACCCACTTCGTTTCTTACGATACGTAAAATGAAACTGCAAAACCGTATCATTTCGCGTTTCCACTGTTCTAAAATTCAAAATCAAACGCCACGGGATATACACTTGACACTCGATTGCACAAAAATCATTTCTCGTAACTACAATTACGTGTGACGATTAACCAGTTAAAATCCTCGTTTCCTTTCGCAAATATTTTGCAACATTTACTTTGACCCGTCCACCTTCTTCGTATAACAGGAAACACGGCAAGCTTCTTAATTACTCACCAAGCCAAGGGGATCTATTTTTACGAAGCTTAAACCCTGTGAGCCGAAGGCTAAAGTCTGCTAAATTCTATCAGGGAGAAACACCGCGTAAATCCTTGCCCGCGTTATTAATCTTTTACCGTTGCAAAATTAATCGCGGGACAATAAATAATTTAATAAGGTGTCAGACACACCAACACCGATACCCTAAAGTGCATTACTTTCAAGATTCAGCCCCCGGTTGCCTGGGCTATTCTTACACTGTATACCCTCCCCCCACCCCTCTATAACCATTACTTAACAAGCTCTGCTTTATGGTTAAATATTGAACGAGGGAACGGGCATCGTTATATCGTAATCCTAATCCCATTTCCAGCTTTACGCACTAAGGAGACTAATGCAAGGTCCGGCGACCACCCCGAAAGCACCCCTGGGAAACAATTCGAGGCCGCTGCAGGATCTTCATTACAGGACTATACGGACGAACATCGATTTTCGCAAGGTGAATTGCCCTATTCTATTTTCCCTCTATCTCCTTCACCGGCCGTCTCGGTGATTCTGCTAATTTTTCATCGGCTAATGCGATTAGGCGGCGCGAATTCTTGTCTGAGGAACACTGAACTGCCTCGATCGGCGTCGGTAGTGGAAGTTCGCTCGAGTGAAAAGTTAATCAAACGATAACAGTTTCGCGTTTTTTTTTTTTTGTCTTTTAGAATTAGATAGTAAGACATGGTCTTTTTTTTTTTAGCGGTGGGTTGATGAGATTGTTGTTACGTTGGAATCTTGTGAAAGTTGCTAGATGAGACTGAGACCACTTGGCGATTTACGTGAATTTTTATGTAAATTTCGAGTCAATATTGCAGGGCAATTTGCTTGGTTTTGGTGGATTAGAGCGACTAAAGTTGCTAACATCATTGTCTAACTTACAATGCATAGTGGTTTGAAACTTTTGACCCACCGTGTATATTAGACAGGTTACGTTATGTAGCTTCGAAGTGAGTAATTTTGTTTCGACAGTATGCAAGGATGCAAACGGGAATTTTTAATTTATGGAAAGAGGAAACTGTAGATTCTAGATTTCTATCTATCTTGTCGACTAATTATCTTTCTTAAACGACTTATATAGAAAACTCGAAATTAAAAGGTGAATGACAATTCAATTGGTAGATAAAATCAATGCAAAGATGATTTTATGTTAATCTATAAAGTGGTTGTCTTCTCTCCTGAATAATTAAATTTTTCCAGTTTCACAATTGTACCGTTCAAATAACGAATATCTTATTTTTTCTTTTGAAGATTAGAATTGAATCTAGAATTGAAACTTTGTATATAGATTAAATACAAAGCAACAATTCGTTCTAACAAAGAAGAACGACTTCGTATCACAAATTTTACTATTTAATAGTGGAAAAATAAAATTTCTTACCCTTTAATTGTGTAAAAATAATTGACGTATGAGCTTCTTTAAAAAAATTTAGATTATTTAAAATTTAAATTTAGATATATTTGGTATCACTTCCTCCAAAGCATCATAAAATTTTTCTATTCGAAGAATCACAAGATCACTCGTTTCGGAATATCGTGGAATGTTTCTGTCCAGACAAACTCACAAGATCACTGATTTCGAAGCATCGTGGAATTCCTCTATCCAGAAAATTAATCAAATCCACGTTTTTTGTGTGTTTCGAATAGCGACCGGAAGCGAAGTGTCCGTCGATGGCCCAGGACATGCACTATAGAGGTAACCCAGGACATTATCCAGGCTCGACAGGCCCCCAAACTTCTTACCATCTAGCGAAGGGATCGTCTCGATGAGAATCTGAAAAGATGACTTTTTCTTTCCAGCGAACACGTGGCAGGACGATGGATCCCTCTCGCACAACGGCGTCTGAATATCGGCCACCATGCCAGCCACAGACCTTTTCGGCTTTCAACGCGACAGGTTTACACGCGATCGTCTCATAAATGGCAGCGAAAATCGGTCGACAAATGTTAGGGTTAAACGCGAGAAAACGAGTTGCGTCACGGTTCAATGAACTCGATTCGTCCAATGGCAAAAAAAGAAAAAAAAAAGAAACACGCTCTGTGTAGTTCTTGAAAAGCTTCAAATATTTTGACTATCTTGATCAGTGAAACATTGAATCGTTCTTGTGCGTGTCATCAAAGATGAACTGATTAATAGAAAAAGTAAAATCAGTGAAATATACGATTTAACAAGATCAACAATCTTGCAATTCACGAAACTCTCGATTCGTTTGTAATTATTTCGAAATCAAAGCCTCTCGGGATTAAATTGAAGAAAGCTTTCTTTTCAATTCGAAATCTAATTGAAAATTTCAAAATTTCCCGTCGAAAGATTTCGAGCATCCTGACTCGATTTATTTCTCCGATTCAAAATTCAATTCAGAAGTTCAGAATTCACAGAATTTTGCATAATCTCGAGCAAAATGAACTTTCCTTCTAGAATACAAAATCATACGACAAAAGAACCAATACAATTTTGTATCGTTTCATCTCATTGATCGGATAATTTCTAGATACCCAAATCAGAAAAGAAGCAAAATTCGAAATAGATTTTCAAATGAAAAAGGATGAAAAATTCTAAATAGATCTTCAAATGAAAAAGGATGCAAAATTCTAAATAGATCTTCAAATGAAAAAGGATGCAAAATTCTAAATAGATCTTCAAATGAGAAAGAAAGCAAAATTCGATACGAATCTACTTAGAATTGTGAATAACGACAGACTTGATTACACGATAATTAAAGCGAGGAATAATTAATAGAGGTTTACGCGTTTCGTCGAGACACCGATTCCCGTCGATCCCTAACAGCTGCATCCCGTTCGAAGGGGAGGAAGATTCACGAGCTACCAGGGACGGGCACGGGTTCCAGAGGGTCGTTTCTCGAGCTATCGCGACCGAACCGATTCTGACGGGGATGATAAGTGTGTTCGAGCGCGGCGGGAATTTGTATTTGTCGCGCGAACACGTTCAGGAAATCGTTCCCGTCGTTCTTTCGCGCGGCGAAGGAGTGGTACGCTCGAGATCGAGGCAAATGTTCCGTGGAATGGAAATGTTTCGACGGACGTTCGTCTTGACCGATGTCAACCAGCCTAACTGACCGTGTTTCTTGCACTTTCGACGAGTTAATCGAGCTTACGCTCCAACCCTCTCCCATTCATATTGAAACGAAATTTAAAAATTATTTTGCAAATCTAAAATGTATGAAAGAACCTCGCGAAAAATGATAATGAACTTGTTCAACGATAAACGATAATTGGAACGATCAATAATTCATTACTATTTTGTACGCATAGAATCAGTTTAAAATTGTTCGATTCGAAATCAAGCTTAGAATTTCTCCGTGACTTAAAAATAAGAGAAAGAAGTGTATCTTAACTTGAATCTTACACGAGAATTCTTATTACTCGTTAGATTTCACAAATTCAGAGACGATTAACGCGTCGAAGAGCAAGCAAGAAGGACAGAGATCGCGAAACAACTGCAGCACAAGTTTCGTTCACATTTATCGCTGTATACCTGCAACATACGCCATCAATTTCGCCAGAGAATGATTGTTGTCCCTTTATGCGGTATTTTTTTATTTCCAAAGCAGAGAACAATCGTGTGCCTGTCGCTGCTAGCAGAAGAATCGAGCTCGTTCCGCTCCCAAGCCAAACACCACCTCATCAAACAGATAATTTATAAACCGGCGATTCGCCGAAATACAAGTGAACGTTGGACGAGTGGAAACGAATTGTCGACTTACTTGACAGGTTTTTGTCAATTATTTTGTAGCCAATATACGTAAACGGGACGCTGAACGAACGACGAATAGAAACGTGTCAAAGTAAGCTGATCGAGAGAAAAAAATAGAGGTGAGGATGGATATATGAACGGTCCTTTGAATGTTCACGATTCCTTGAGCGGAACGGGCGATTCGATGAGTAATAGCTGGATGTTTAGGGGATAAAATTGTGGAGGGGCTTGTGAAGGATTGGAATGGGAGATAAAGTGAAATAATGTCGCGTGCTAGACCAACCAAAATCGCGAGATGGATAAATTGGATTGTTCGTAGCTTAGCCGAATGGACGAATGATCCAGCGCTTTTGTATATAAATACAGACACTAAGAAAGACGTAAGAAAGAAAGAAAAAAAGAAAAGAACAAAAAGAACTACTATTAAATAGGCGTAAGCAGATTAAGAGGACACTTAGAGAGATACGGAGGAGGAAGAGTGTGTATAGAGACTAACGTTGTATCATACGAAAGTGAACGTTTAACGATTGTGGTTAATGAATAACGATAACAATAAACGCAACGTTATATTGTACGAGCACGGTGGTTCGCATTTTTCGCTCAACCTTTCTCCTTGTTCGCCATTCTTGCTGTTCTACGTTTCTTCGAATAATTATTCGTGAATTAATTCAAATTTCCACGTGGAAAGTGGATGGAAAGTTGAATTCGAAAATTCACATTAAGACAGAGAGAATTGTGTGAAATAATTTTCACCAGAAATACAGTTTCATTGAAAATTACCACACAGAAATGGGATACCCACTGTTTATTTTTTAAGGTCGTATCATTTATTCATACACTGGATAACAAAGTTTTCGATATCAAATGGAAAATTAAATTTGAAAATTGTCGTTAAGACAGAAAGCACTTCAGGAATAATTTTGATGAAAAGTACAGTTTCATAGACAGTCACCACACAGAAATGGAGCACCCGCTGTTTCTTTTAAGTTCGTATAATTTATCCGTACACTGGGCAACAAAGTTCTTAACATTGATCAACAACAATGACACACGTTTATCTTCTGTAACTCGATAAATAAATTCGCAGATTCGTATCTCACGACAGAGAAATTTTCGAAATTTGCGCCCAGTGATCTCCACTTGCGTGAGCTCTTAACAGTGGAAGGGTGACCAATCGGAGAACCAGTTTCCAACCAATGCCAAAATCACGACTTGAGGACGCATTACCCCGCACCATAATCTCAAACGAAAACTCTCAGCTAGTACAACGCGAACCTCGTAACCTATCGCGCCCCAACAAGTGTGACATAATCGTTCGATAACATCTTACACGTTCTACTTCCAACATTATCACATCCACGTATCCTTGTGCGGATTTATTGCAGTTCGAAAACGTCAAACAACAGTGCAGTTATGTATTAAGTTCGATGCAGTGGGGTTTTCACCGAAAATTCACGAGTTCGATCAGTCGAGAACGGGATAATTATTCGAAGAAACGGACGATCCTCCGGAAGTTTCTTTATCGAGGACGAAGCCCGTGGGAGCGAGGACGGTCTTTCGAGCGAGCGATCGAAAAATCCCGGTACATTGACAAATTGTCCGGACGGAAATTGGGTCGAACGACGGGCAAAGTTCGAGCCACGGGGCTGCGTCTCATCCTTCATTAATTATCCCCCATGTCGCGGCAACTTTCGACGACGACGCTCCGCCGGGACGCTGCCAGAGGTAAGTGAATTTCATTTTGCGAATTTCCAGCGCGAAATTTTCGCGCCCACTGTCTCGCGTCTAGCGCAACCTACGAACGATCGATCATGAACAATGTGAGATTCTTCCAGTGCATACTGGAGTCGATGTTCTTTTCTTTGTCTTGTTGTTGATTAGCGAGAAAATTAGGAATTTTTTTTAGAAATATTTGTGTGTAAGGGAAACGAGATTGATGAATTTGAATAAATTGTAGTACAATTGAAGTAAATGTTTATCGCAGAAGATGATTTTGCTGGTTTACTTTCAATTAGTAGGAGGACAAGAAGTAAAAATATTTGTACATAGTGGAAGTGAGATATTATAATATAAGCGAATTGAATTTTGACTAATTTGGAAATTTTCGATGGTTCATTTTTAATTGGATGATTTTGCTGGTTTACTTTCAATTAGTAGGAGGACAAGAAGTAAAAATATTTGTACATAGTGGAAGTGAGATATTGTAATATAAGCGAATTGAATTTTGACTAATTTGGAAATTTTCGATGGTTCATTTTTAATTAGCGAGAGGCTTGGGAATTTTTTGAGGAAAAAATACAAATGTTTCTGTATAGTGGAAATTAGGTTGATGATTTTAAATAAATTGTTGAGGTGGAAGCTTTTGCCGTTTATTAAGTTTGGACGTTTTGATATTAGAGTTAGTGTTGTTAGTATTTACTTACTGGAACGTACCAGAGTATAACTGTAACATAGATTCTAACAGGCTGACAACATACTACAACAGACCACAACAAAGTTTTACGACTTTAACGACTTTGACCGAGCAAACTGACTTCAAAGACTCATTCAATTGACTCTCGTAGGATCTAACAACTTGTCCTATTCAGCCTTGACCTATTCCATATGTTATGCAATTACAATGTGTCTCTTACCCAAAAATCGGTAATATATGCAGTATTCTTAAAAATCTATTTAAATCAAACTATATTCGTAGGTAAACAAAAACTGAAAAAAATAGCTAAATATCTCTCAATTAATCCTATTCTTCATACCATCGTAATACACTTTCTGTGTTGTTTATGCTGAAAAATATACTCAAGTTAATGGATACTTAATCTCCCTTTACTTTTATTTTTCAATTTATTTAATTTAGTTTATTTTTTTATTTTTTTTTTACCATTTACAATTTTCATTTGAAGAATTTTAAATTCTAACTTGTTCAGTGGCTCTTATCATAAAAACTAGAAAACAAAAGAACGCAGATAGATGAATACAATGTATGTCAATAAATAGATACCAGTAATAAATCTTACTTCAAGACTTCTCACGTGAAGCGATGTTAAAACAATAAATATACCGTTAAAAGACCCACAAAACGAGGAATTAAAGATCCACTTAACCTTCCCGGGAGAGACACAAATCTCCGATACA